ATGGGAAATAGAGGAGCTCAAGCTGCGTCGAATGGCGCAAGAACGAATTCTCTAGCTCATTTCGTTTTTGAGAAAAGCGGATTTTAATGCGTCAAAAACGTTACAGTGTAACGCGTGAACAAGCCGTCAGATACATATTCAATAAAAATTTCAGTAAGATTGAGTGTTCTGGGAAAAGAGAAATTTTAGAGGGGAGGGGGGCCCTTAAAAACTATCTTTTAATATGAATTTATACTTCAGAACACGGGCTATGTTTTTCGCCCCTTCGCAGATTTTAAAACCGCTCCGTCAAAATAGAATTCTTGGTTTCAATGCGAGATCCAATACACTGTAAAAAGTCCATATATAAATTCTCTGAGGATTTTCTAGATTCTAGAAAATCGAATTTAAAACAAACTTGGAAATTCGATCTCGATTTTCCAGAATTCAGGAAATTCGAAGTCGAATTTCTATAAATAATTCCCAAGATTCTTGAAATTCGAAGTCGAATTTCCAGTTCGTTTTTCTAGAATTATGGAAAATGCTCAGCGATTTTCAATCTGAAAATTTCTCGGCGATTTTATATATGGACTTTTGGAAATTCGAAAAATGAAATTAATTTCCAGTTATCTGGAAAATCCGTGAGGAATTTCCAATTAGTTGAAATATCGCTGAGGATTTTTCAGGCTTTTATGTAATTATATGATGTCGTATTAGATATTTTAGCATACTCCAAGAGGCAGAGACTTGAAACGTTAAATGGCAAAAGAAAAAGCTTCTCTGGGATTGCATAAACCTGACGGACTTCTAGGTTAAGAATGCTCTCAAGTGTTGGTGTTTATTATTTATCTTTTGAACGATGCTTTGTTTATTTACTTCCTTATTTATTAAAACAGGTAGGAAACAACAAAAGAGTAATAACTTACAAGATTGAGAACGGTTAAACCAGGATACTTTTCAACTATGCTTGGAATTAATTCATTTTTCTTGACCAATTGACGACGATGTGGAAATGTAAGATCAAACTTGGCCTTGAACTCTGACATATCGTAATTTGTTTTTATCATTTGTTGCATAGCCATACATATACCACTGTCACAGTTAAGGTTAACAAAATGACTCATTGCATTTTAGAAAATCGATTTCGAATTTCAAGAATCTTGGGAATTATTTATGGAAAATCGACTGATTTTCTAGAATATTAGAAAATCAAACTCGAATTTCCAGTATTTATAAAATCGACGCCGAATTTTGATATTTTTGGAAATTCTATGGCGATTTTCTGAATAAAATGAAAATTCAATTTATAGAAAATAGAAAATCGCGAATTTCTAAAAAGTCAGAAAATCTACGAGCATTTTATAAATATCAGAAAAAGCTCCACGATTTTCCAGATCGATTTTCTATAAACTAGAAATTAATTCCAAATTACAGTGTAGCCCGATTTTCTCTGTGCGGAATAATGTTTACGCCTCAAGTTTTATATCACAATGTAGGCCACACTCGGATGTATTTAGACAGCAGATGCTGGTTTCTGGCACAGAGTATCAGGAAGCAAAAAGGACTCTTCCTCTCTCTTCGGCGTGGTCAACGATATATGGCACCTTTTAAGCCTTTTCTGAAAATTTCCTTGAGTCAGCATGAGATTTGATCGAGATATAAGGATTTTAATTTTTGGTAGTAACAGGCGAAAAACCGGTTTTTCACAACAATGCCTCTGGCGAAGTTATATTCATTTCTACACAAAAACAAATGTTGCTACTATGCTCAGCGTAGTCGATTACCTATAGTCCATGGCATTTTGAGATTCCTAGAGATGTCTGCTCGGAGATAGACACGTGCTCGGGGAAAGCGAGCCCTGCCCGAACGACGGTAGCTAGAGAGCCGGGAATGCATAATTTTGTAGAGTAACGTCCGGACTATCTATGCATGCAAAAAAATTACTAACATTGTATGTTAGTTTTCTGAGAACGGAAATGATTTTCCAAAGATCCTCTGGAAATCCGATCCCTGGAATTTTTTCAAAAGTTGCTTCCGCTCGTGAAAAGTTCTGCTCAAGTCTTGGCTATTGAACAGCGAAAATCGCAGATCTCTATCTTATTCGTATCAAAAGTTATTCAAAAAGTGGCACCCCGCACTGTATTTTAGTATGGATAGTAGTCATTCTACACATTTCATCATCAGACAATAAGATACGAAGTTTACCATACAGAAATAGTAAACTTTGTATCTCATTGTCTGATGATGAACTGTGTACATTTCGAAACGTCACATTGTGTATAATAATAAATTAGATTGACTAGACTTAAAGCTGCTGTAAATTGATTACGAATATGATATTTTTAGCTGCCTGTCAGCTCGCGGCTGAGTTGGAGTAGTTTTATTTCACTTTAGTAAAAAATTACCTATTTTCGATCGATCATAGCTTTTTGCAGATACGTTATTTACATTCGTTTAATATGCTGTTTTGTTAAGGAACTCTTCATCTACAATTTGGTATAAGGGACATAACAGTGCGATTTATAGTATTCGAGAAACAAATAAGCATTTACTGTACACGTATCTTTTGCTCTGCGTCGTAATTTTTTGCTTCTATATTTCTGTACAAAAAAGTAATTTTGTATTTTAAATATGTCAATTTGTAGTGAATTCAAAACACTTTCTCATGATACATTATATTTGACTTTAAAGTTTATTATCAGTATAAAAGTATCAGTTAGCTTTCAACTTTAAAAAAACTGTGATCGATCGAAAATAGGTCGTGTTTTGACCAAAGTAAAATAACACTACTCTAGATCAGCAGCGAGCTGACGGGCAGCTAAAAATATCATATTCGTGATCAGTGCACTTAGCTCTACCAGACCCCATGTATTTCTTCAAAATCCCAGGAGGAAACTTCGGGATATCCCTCGTTAGATGTGCACAAATAGAAAACAGAATAATAAGTTCAAGTACATAGCGTCATTTTGTACAAGATTTTGACAGAGAGTGTGTTCAGTATTGTCCTTCGATATTTTTACCACAAGTGAAGCATGAAATTTACAGCCAGGCTATCACAAGTAGTTCGATACTCACAGAGACAATCATGTGAAACTGCTGGACATTGAGCAAAATCATTGGTGGTGATCGTATTAATTCACATCGGGATGTTTCTACGCAGGTCCGCCCACTTTTTACACGACTTCAAGTCGGAAAAGCTCACTATGGTGAGATTGTTGCTCGTGTTGAGTTCCATAGGTCTACACCTCGAGTTTTAAAAAGATTGTGCTGAAAATGGTCCGAACAGCCTTCGCCGAGAAATTTTGCACCTAACATCCAGTTTTTATCTAATTTGGTTCAGCGCGGAGCAAGCACCAATGGTGTACAGTTATTCAAAGAATGGCTACTGCTCTTGTATTTTTCTCTACGATTGGGTCGAATAGATGAATGCTGTGCAACTTGTCACGTTTTTCTCTACTCGATTAACTTCTGGTTCTTTTCCAGCGACTGGGTACATTGATCTTGAAATTCTGAATATACTAGTTTCTCACAAATTTATCAGCTTCAAAATAGTGAATAATAGAAAAATAATGGTTTTTTTGTTTGAAAAAAACATAATTGACTGTGGACATACCAGCTGAACTGAAACATGCATTTCGAAGTCTTTTTGTGTTATGAGCTTTACCAGTTATACAATTGTTACTGCTCGTTAATTTTATTGTTCTAATTTCAAAAATGAGAAAAAAAGATTAGTTTCATACCGGAAAAAAAGCAAAAATTGAACGATGAATCTTTTCATCAGACAAAAACAGAGAGTTTCACACAAAACATATCAGAAAAAAATAGAATATTTTTATACTTTTGCTATTCACAGAACTTTATTACTTTTATTTCATTTTTCTCAACGTATTTATTGACTATCAACTAAACGAGATTTTGATGAACTACATGATGGTGATGTATGTTGTAATTCATTCACTGATTTAATTATTGCACTCGTACTTTCAGTTTTACCAATCATTTCATTTAAATTAATCAATGCTAATGCGATATCCACTGAAAGTTCGTTGCGACGACGCCTTGCTTAAATATACAACAGATAGAAGAATAAACGATTTTGGTTGCGGTTAAAAGAAAATGTTTTGTGTACAGCGAGCTATAGCTTCATAATCAATCAAGAGAGAAGACAGTGAATAGTCTCAAAAAGCTATCTAAATTACATAAAACACTCAGAACATGGTAAAATGATTATATTGAACGCTCAGCATCCTACACAGTTCTAAAACCATTTTTCCTTTTCGTGATAAACACATTCTTATAAACAATAGTCAGAGAAAAAACATTATTTAACTTTTATCATAAAATGAATTTTTGTTCGTTTCACTTTTCATTTTCTGTTATTTTTTTATTTCTTTGAATAACGAGCACAGCTTTGGGAGCTATGAAAGTAATATAAATATTTTTTCCTTGCCATGTGAAAAAAGAATAATTTTGAATTACATGTGATAGCATATAATCTGCACTAATGTCGAAGTTGAAATTAAATTGAATATTTTGAATATCTTAGTAAAAAAAAAAAAAAAAATGCTGAGTGACAAAAAAGACGCAGTAATGGTACAATTTCCTCTTGTGAATCTGGTGACATTTGAATCCAGATTTTAAGATTTACTTACTTTGGCTACCTATTAAATTAGTCTCTATTTCTTTTTTAATTCTTTTCTATAAATGAGTGGTAATCTATGTGCTTGCCGTTTTGCTCATATCTTTTAGATTATCAAAATATTAATATTGACACATAGCTAAATATGGAGTTATTACTTAAAACCTCTAAACTTACGTAGTTTTATAGAATTATAGTAGTTAAGATCCGATCGTTTTATGAATGTTTTACTGAAACGCATGCTAAAAATTGTCGGTACGATATTTAGTTTATCTTCAATAATGAAAAGATTTCAAATGGTGGATTCTTCGAAAAAGTATAAAAGGACAGCTTCTCTAGTTCAAACACACCACTATGTCGTTAAGTCAACGAATGAACTTTCATGGATCAAGAACCGTGTGTTATGCATGTTAGAATGTTAGAATGCGTATTGTTATTGATAGAGATTAATGAATATTAATCTTCCCTCTGCTCTATTCTAGGACGGTTTTTTGCACTTATTTTCGTATCGGTAACAATTTTCATCGTGATTATATCAGATGAATGGAAACAAATGTCGTTTAATGAACAACTATGTAGTCGAATTATCAATGAGCCACTGAGTGTATCTCCAAAAGAAGTCGAACAGGTGAATGCTCAATTATCTTTTGAAAGTCAACGTCTAATGGAAACAAATTACCATCAAATGGACTGTTCAATATTTGTTCGTTCATTTTACACAAAAAGAGTTACTCAAGTAGAATTAGATTTTCCTCTAGCATTCACGATTCTCGTGTTTAAAAATTTATATCAGTTTCAAGTGTTATTACGCATGATTTACCGACAACATAATTTTTATTGTATTCATACTGATTTACATGCACCACAACATCTGGTTGATTATTCGGAAAAAGCCAGTAAATGTTTAAAAAATGTCTATTTGTCACCAAGAAGAATCAGTGTCAAATGGTCAGCATATTCAACATTAGAAGCCGAACGTCTGTGTCAAGTCTTTTTACTTCAAAGGTTTAAGACTTGGAAATATTATATGAATTTAGGTAATAATATCGAACTAACAAGACTTTTTCTTGTCATTGTTAAGCCATGCTTATAATATTTTCATTTAGCACAGCTGGTACAGAATTACCCATACATACCAACTACGAACTTGTTCTCGTTTTAAAACTATTAAACGGAAGCAACGATGTGTCATCTCGATTAAATTTGAATCCCGAACGACATTTACGTCAATCCTTTGATCCAATTCCGGGTAATTTAACGTTGAAAAAAGGTGAATTTCATGTCACATTATCTCGAGCATTTGTTGAGTATGTTCATAACAGTACATTAGCTCAAAAACTTGAACAGTGGTTATCTAAAACAAAATTTTCCGATGAACACTTTTACAGTACACTAAATCGTCTACCAGCATTTCCCGGTTCATCGACTATAGATTATTGGCGCGATCAGTTTTTGTCTCGATATAAACAATGGTATCCAACAGAAAATTGTAAATCAAATATTTATTCCGAACTTGTATGCCAATTGAATTGGAAAGATTTGACAAATATTGTTAAAAGTAAACGTTTATTTGTTAATAAATTCAATCAACAACATGATTTTCTTAGTATTGATTGTATGGAAAAATGGTTAAAGTTTAAAATAAATAACCCAAGAGCGATTAATCAAAATGATTATGTACACTATCCACCGATACGAAAATCAATAAAAGCCCAAGCTAAACCTAAATCATTTTAAACAGACAAATAAACGAGAAAACTACAGTTAATTTCAAAGTGAGAATAGCTTTTTGTTAATTTTGTATGTTATGTTTTTTGATTCTTTTTGTATTCCAAAAATATTCATGTAGAAACATTTCAAGTATTCAAGTAGCTCTTTCTAAAGATTCCATACCGTTTACATTCTCGAACGTGAGCCGATCAACTATTGTCTATACAGTCCCTAATGCAAGCCTGTCTGAAAATTTGGTGTTTTTTCTGCATCTCATAGACTCATGCCACCTATGAACCATCACATTCTGGACTATAAAGAACTTTTAACTCTGTTTCGTACAAATTATTTATTTTATTATTAAATTGTTTATTGTATTATTTGTACGAAACACAGTGCGATTCACTATTTGATTCATTATTGATTCACGCTCAAGTTTTTGGTGAGGGTGGAACCAAAGTCGGTGAAAATGAACGAAACATTGCATAATTCTACATCAAATTGTAGCTTTTGATGAGTTGATTCTAATGGCGAAGGAATTCGGTCTCGATCTAACTTTACATTCGAGTGATACTCCATTTACTTGAAAAATTCCTGAAGTTTGATCTCCATTTTCTCCTAAACGCTCCGAAAAGTTTTCGAGATTTTTTCAGGATAGAAACTACTTAGTAGGATCTATGACTTCGCTCATACAACTATCCTCGACACTTTTCATTTTTCACCCTCGGTTTTTCAGAAATCCTCTTCGAAAATTGCGGTACGGAAATACAAAGAAGCCTCAGAAAACACTGAAGTACATTGAATTCTTAATGCGGAACAGGAATACAGAGTCATAATAGCTCAGGATTCTTTTCATGAAGTAAGGTTTTAACGGGTTGTCTGGAAAACCGAGGGTGAAAAATGAAAAGTGTCGAGGATAGTTGTACGGGCGAAGTCATAGATCCTACTAAGTAGTTTCTATCCTGAAAAAATCTCGAAAACTTTTCGGAGCGTTTAGGAGAAAATGGAGATCAAACTTCAGGAATTTTTCAAGTAAATGGAGTGTCACTCGAATGTAAAGTTAGATCGAGACCGAATTCCTTCACCATTAGAATCAACTCGTCAAAAGCTACAATTTGATGTAGAATTATGCAATGTTTCGTTCTTTTTCACCGACTTCGATTCCACCCTCACCAAAAACTTGAGCGGTCTAGAAAACCACTTTCCACCCGTTTTCTCAAAAAAGCGTAAGCGAGACCTTTAGATTATTTTTGGTGGTCTACACAATGGACAAAGTGGAATTTTCGCTGCAAGATGCTTTGTATAAAGTGGGCGGACCTGTGTGGAAGCACCCACCATTCACATTTCCTATCGAAAATAAATTATTAATGGCAATTCAGCGTCAGAAACGTTGGTAATTTATCATAATTTATTTTGCAACAAAATGCATTTCGACGCTCCGAAAAATACAGAAAACTACATTAAATTGAATTCTGAATTAAATTGAAACCAATTTTCCAACTTTATAGAGAATATTGATTTTCAAGATTCTTGAAAATCGAGTCGATTTTCTATAAATTTAATTTTGTAGAATCTTGAAAATCAACGAGAATTTTCAGATTTATAGAAAATCAAAAAAAAATAATTTTCAAGATTTCTCCGTGGGGACAATACATAACATATTCACCGTTTTGTTTTGCGTCTACTAAAAGTGCAAAGTTCGACGAAAACTGAAGCTTTTTTCTCCAGATTAATTTTATTTTTATTTTTAGATTGCTTGTTTTAGATTAAGTGCCGGCATGTTCTCGTGCATCTCGTGAACCTTGAAAATTATTTATAGAAAATCGCCGTTGATTTTCAGAAAGTCCATGTCGATTTTCTATAAATAATTTTCAAGATTACAGTGTATCCCGTTTTTAGCAATAAAACTTTAACCGCTTATTTCCCGATCGGGATGTGAATTCGGCTAAAATTGGTTAAAGGTTTTTGTTCGAAAAAATCGTTGGTGGGTGCTTGATGCACTTTTAATCAAACTAGTAGATTTGTAGGAAAGGGCAGCCTTAAAAAGAGTATTACTTGAGGAAAATTTGCATTTTTGGTGTTGCTTCTCATTTTCTATTCAATAATCACACGAGATTATGTGACGTCCTCTGGTCAAAAACGGTCTATTAGGCTAGAAGTTTTACTAAAATCATTGAATATATTTCCAAGAGATTTTAGTTTTTTCTGTATAATCTTGAGTACCAGTAAAGATACTTGCGGAGTCACAAGAAAGCCACAGCAAGCATTAGGAACATCCTTTTTCTTCCACCCAGAGATCCCTCCCTAATCCTACAGAATCACAGACAATGAAAATATGAAAAGCTTTCGCGAATCAGTTCACTCAACCAATCTTGCGGCTACCATATTGTTGTTTCAAGATTCCAATTTTTTTCTCGATGTTATTAATAGATTATACAACAAGCCCTCGAACAAGCTCAAGAAAACCATACATCAATTATCAGATTCAAAACGGACGAATTATCGAAAGCGGCAGGTACGCTGAACTAATGAGACTAGATGGCATCTATTCGAAATTGTACTTATCAAATATAAAATGAACACTTGCTCATTTGTATTGTTGCATCATTCTCTACGATTATAATGGAATAGCGATTTGGCAAGACGGACCTGGCAATTTAGTTTAAGTTACACAGACCGCTTCATTGCTTTCCTTGACCTCTATAAGGCTTTGCTTTTGTTATGTACTTTTTATTTGAAGCTAAATTGATACAAGAGAAAATACAGGCTAGTTTATAAAAATACACTCATTATGGTGTTTCCTCATCACCATGAAATATTCTAAAAGAGACTGATAAACTACAGTAGTAAAATAAAAAATAAAAAGGCAGGAGAAACAAAAGAAAGCAAAAAAACTAAAATGAAAATGTTATCAGTGGAAGAACGATCACGCATAATCTCGTGTGATTATTGAATAAAAAATGAGAAGCAACACCAAAAATGCAAATTTTCCTTAAGTAATACTCTTTTTAAGGCTGCCCTTTCCTACAAATCTACTCTCTATAAAGTGCACTCAAAACAGCCAAGTTCCGAACGATTTTTTAAAAAACTCCACGAAGACGGCATTTTTTGTATTTCGATTTTATCGTTAAGCTGAGCCACACTCATCTTCGAATAATGCTCTAGTAAAAAAAAACCTGAAAAGGTTTTTTCAGTTTTAACTTTGTTATAGAAATACGAACTGCTTAAATATGATTTCAGAGAAAAAACCGTTTGCCAAATGGGTCGGTGGAAGAGATTCTTGTATTATTGTATTGAATAGATTAAAAAAAGGCAAAGATTTTCTTCAGTTCCGTAGGTGATGTTGAACCACAGACAAAACGGCTCAGAGCTGTGCTCAAAATGTTGAAGAATATCGGGAGTAGAAATTTTGGGGAAAATCTTTGTGACTCGCAGCATACTGAATGTCGTCACCCAACTTTCAACATGGATTCAATTGTGATCATAAAAGAACAACACATGGTAGGCACCCTCTCTAAATTACTATTTTCTTTTCACAAACCATTTCGTTTTCAGTATCTAAGGCACTCGTCGGCTCGTCCATGAGTAGGATCTTCGGATTGTGAATTAAAGCACGAACAATTGCTATCCGTTGTTGTTGACCACCCGAAAGCTGCGATCTCTGTCGACCCACATTGGTATCGTAGCCCTGCCAAAACCAAGGAAAAGAAACGGAAGAACCTCTCTTATTTTGTTTGATTGGGAGCTTACCAGTGGTAAGGCTTGAATGAAAACGTGAATGTTCGCCTTTGTTGCCGCCTCAATAATTTCATTGATTGAGACTTGGCGCAAATGGTCACCGTAGACAATATTTTCTCTTATCGTCAAATCAGACAAAACCGGTTCTTGACCGATAAGGCCAATTTGCGAACGATGCCATTGCAGATTCAAATCAGGAACATCACAACCATCAACAAGCTAAAATTATAGTATTATAAGAAATTACGTTTTCGTTCCGTGTATTTTAGCGGGTATGAACTCTTGTGCGATTTTCCAACAACTTAGACTTCTATTCAGGAAGATTGACTAAAGGTACTTTTTTCTTCCCCCCCGACAAAACTTTTATAACTCCACACGATAGCGTTGCAGGAACTTGAAATTTTCACGATGCTTGTGAGATGCAAACAATGCAGAGTGATAGTAAAACCTTTTTTCCGACTTATTATACACCATTCGATAGAATTTTCTGAGCTGATCACGAATATGTAGTTTTTAATTTTTTGAAATGTGTTTTTCACCTCGAAAAATCGAGTAAACTCGAAAGCTGAGTGTTAGCGGCTCTCTCTCTCTATTTCGCCACTAACGCTAGACACTTGTTATCGCTGTCTGTCAGTGTTGGTCTTCTTTCCATTTTTTAGTCACTCTCTCTCGTTGTTAGTAGATTCTCTTTTATGCA